GGCTCTATTAAATAAAGTTGGCCAGTACTGATAAGCCAGTATTTGCAGCTAATTGCCTGTGCACCCTCAAATAAAGTGGAGGCAGGGGACTTGCAACAAATGACAGACCAGGAAAAAAAAACAACCTTGCATGCAAATATGCATGTACTTGCAACAGATTTATATTGTGTATTTACATTCCATCACTGTGGAGGGAGATTAAAGAGATAACTGTAACCTATGGAAATTAAAAATAGCAGTGACAAGAACTCATACAGGAAAAAGAACAAAAATTAAAAAAGAAAGCTGAGAGACGGTGAAGAATTAGAAAACATCTGCTATATCAGAAAAGGGCATTTATGGTCTAACAAGCTCAGAGGCCCAAATTATTCATTTTGAGAGCTAACCACAAAGTGGGCAAAATAATGCAAAAGCAAATGTCCTCAAGGCAACACAATCAATGTGTTATTTTAGGCTGACTAAAAACAGTCCCACAGCACCAATTGGTTTGTTAAGTATTTAAACTAGATTGGCCAGCACAATTTCCCACAAAAGCCTCTCTAATGTCTTGCAGTGAGTCAGAGCAACATGTCATTGTTGATATATTGCTAAGCAGCCCACTTCGAGTCAGCCCTCTCAGTACCACTAGGCAGTTAGTGTGATTGAATTTCTGAACTGCTGAGTGGCCGTTTTAATCCAGCAATGCCACCAAACCCTGAGATCCGTAGAGATGATGGGATTCTTGATTGATCCGAGTTTCTGTGACGTTGTTACTCTAAAACATGTAGGTATGATGTGTGACAACACTGCATACATTTATGGATGACGACTAAGATTATTTAGTCTTGGGCTTCAAGCCTGAGGTGCCAGGTGCTCAACTGAAAAAGTATGGACCCAAACAATATATTGCACATGTAACCACAATAACACTACTTGCCTTATCATTTTAGCTGAGTTATGGTAAGATTAATATTTACCTGAATTAATGTTTGCCTCAAAAAGGCCAAGTTGAGGGATCACTTTCAGGCCACTATGTGCAATACAAATCATTTGTGGTATGTATCACAATTGCCCCCACGACCAGAACTATTACTACCAAAAGTTTTAATAATCATTTTATTACCTGGTACCCTCACAATACCTGCTTTCTTTCATCTAAAAGTGAAAAATAAAACTCTATACCGGTGTTCATTTTGGAGATTACATAAGCAGGCAAGCAAACTTTCTCAAACATTAATAGAAATTTTGTGACCCAAAGAGCCCAGAAAACATCCAAAAGGGAACACAACCCCAATAGTTATACTAGGTGCATTGTCCCAACCAGCCCACAGAAAGACAAACTGTATGTTTGTTCACACTCACACCCCACCCAACTGGCACTGAGCAAGGACAGCTAAGGAGGCAGCATCACATGGCCAAAACGTCACCATGTCCTAAACCTCTAGAGTGTTTAACCAGTGAGACGAACCTAATGTGAAAAACCCCATGGTCAAACAGTCGGAGCAGACTCTATACGCCAAGCTGTCATTCCTACAGCTTCTGTGGTACCTTACAGGAGCTGTAGACTACTCTGTCCTGGGAACACTAGTCCTAAAAATATGTTGACTCGATTTTCTGGTGGCAGCAGACACATTTTGAGAGAGACACAACCGTACCGATCTGAAATCTCCATCGACATCAGAGTCCTCACAGATGTCCTCATGGGGCACATTTCTCCTCTTCAGAAGGTGCTCATCTCTTTTGTTCTGTGGTGTAGGGAACAGAAAACATTACTTCATGCATATTCCTGCAGAAATTAAGGATACCGTCTGTATCTTTCAGTACATTATTTCAAAGATAAACTGCATGTAAGAGGTCAGAATATAATTTGGTTGTAAAAATCGTAATTACTGAAAGTCACTGGGTGTTTGTAGATAATAACATAATGTAACACAAAAGTGATTACCTTTCTGAGTTCCACAACTACCTCGGTCCTCTGTCTTCTCATAGTCTGTGGGAGAGATAGGATATGAACATTATACCACACCTTTAATCCCAACCTGCCTTTGCCCAAGAGAGTTAACACCAGCTACAAAATTAAATCCGGGCACAGTCTGAGATCAAGATCCAGTTTGTACAACCAGAGCTGATCAGCAGTCTCAGTCATACCTGGAGCATAAAGTCAACAGCCCACACACTGCATATGACAGCACCCAAACACACTTAACACCAGTCTGACCTAATATGACTCAGCTTAAGTTACTGTAAGACCATTTCATGCGTCTTAACAAGACTACAAACACCCATATTCTTTGACAGAAACCAGTTTTATCAGGTTCTTACAAAAACATCAATTTATTAGACACATCTAGCTACAACTACTGAAGACCTGTAATAAATCCTAGCATCATGAAGATTATAATGTCCAATATTTTTTGAAAATGTTTCAAAGAGGTGTTGGTTCTAATATTAGAGACTGAGGTTTGTTTCTGCTGTTCAATCATATTGTATTATATAATAGAAGTGTTTCTAATATTTAGTCTTCCAGCACTGCTACCCATGTGCTTGACAAAATATAAGAAAACCATTTCAGTACAACATACTCTAAACCTCAAATTCTAAAATGACCATGAAGTTGAAACAACCCCTCCTGAAAACAACTAACGTTAATGAACATTGTACCCTTCGTGAAGGAAAGATTTGTTGAAGGTCTGTTGTATTAGACTGCATTAGTTTTAACCCGATGTATCTAATAAACCGGCAACTGAATATATGGCGTATAAAATTTTTTATTCTTTCCGAGGAGAAGAGTACTGTTGTAGTTGCAGTTAAATACTAAATGTGTCTATAACGCTTGTGTGTGTGTGTGTGTGTGTGTGTGTGTTCAGTTATTAACAGGTTACTAGGCGAGACAACTCACGTCTAATGGCCTACCTAGCTACAGAAGCTACTTGTCAAACAGGATGTATGAGTATATCCTGCTCATATGCATTTTAAGGGAGCCCGCCTGAAAACAACACCATCACCTGCTGATATTAATGAAGCAGAACTCTACGTAGATTTAGTGGTAACTTATGGATCCAACGTGTAGCTTTGATCCGCCAGTCATGTGATCGCGTTAACTAGGTGTTTCTGATAACCTTGGTTTCTGGGCATGTGTAACCGTTAGTAACGCAAAGGATAAAAATTTAACACTACGCCACGATGTAAAAGACCCAGGTAACTGGCCAGCAAAGAGGCTGACTGGTTTCCGCCATTGTTTTTGGTGATAAGACGGGGGAGGGGTGGTACTGCAGCCACCAGCACCACCGAGCTTATCGTTAGCAAGCTAGCACGCAGTTTGGCTAACTGCAGTATCAAAATAACGCTATTATGCTGCTTGCCAATCACGCAAATATCCCCCAAAGATAACTGGAAGTCAGTTATCTGTACTGTTGAATGTACATTAAACATTTTGAAAAGCTAACACCGAGCTAAATCGACCCGGTGGATAATATGCTTCAGTTAAGCTAGCATGTTCCCCGTGGGCCTGGCTAGCAGCGGGCTAGCAGAGCACATCCAGCGGAGGCGATGAACTCCGACCAGCTTTTCTGACATGTTTTATAACCACGGCGGTCATACGGCGTTAAGAAACCCAGCGAAACCCACAGGGGAAACCGCCCGGCAAACGCCAGTGATCTAACACGGCTGATCCATGAAGGCCCTGGCCGGGGCTCTGGGCACAAAGTTGCCGATGGTGGAAATTAGAAACGACGTCACAGGGAAGCCAGGAGGCGAAGCTGGCCGCGAACAGAGCGGCGGCGGCGAGGAAAAGAGGACATCCTCGCCGCCAATCTGCAAAACTTTTACCTCCAAATCACGGCCCTTATTCTTGAAATTCTTCAGCCGCTGGTTGTCCAGTTTCTCGCTGTCAGCCATGTTAGCAGTTGTGGTTGCGGTAAATACAGTTGAACTCGTGAATTTAGCTAGTGAGCTACCCCCTTTTTCTAGTTCCCTTTTCTCAGCCTTTCGTAGCGGACTATTTTTTACAGCTCTGTCCGCGGTGCATACTGGGAATGCCGGTGGTGGAGGGCAGCCTCGCTCTGGCGTGGAGGAAGGGTGGGGAAATCCCCTGTACTCTCATTGGTTTCACGTCCATCTGCAGGGCGCGCCACATAACACTACACATTCATATTTGATCATGATATTCAAGCACAATTAACATCCATTTATTCTAGTTTGTTAACTGCTGTTCATTTGAGTTGCATTACGATGAGAGGTGTTCCTAATATTTAGAGCTGCCACACAAAGTTTTCCGTTTATTAGGAACACCTACTTTAGCTAAAACTAAAGCAGTCCGATATACAATCGTGCATCTAAAGATTTGTTTAGAGTGCTGTCTGACTCATAGAAAATTAATTCCATTTTGTTTTCTAATGTCCTTTTTACTTATACTATAATATTTTGCTTAGTAAGATTAAAAATACATATTGATTGTGCAAAGAGTTTGTTGTACACATTTGAAACATTTAAATCAACCAGTTACATAGAGAAAGCATGGGAGATTAGAAAAAATGTATGAAATCATGATAAACAGTAAAATCATAAAAAACAGTTGTTATTACTTGAATATGTTATTTGATAGAATATAAAGGTAGGCTACAATGTTGCATGTTTTTTTATTGCTCCTTTTTACTTTTGCTTATATGTTTTGTAAACCAGGTGTCATGATCCCATGTGGTGCTATGAGCCACAGCATTACACAGAAATAAAAATTAAAATTGTCTTATACACTTGTAATAGTAAGTACTTTTTCAAGTTTGGCACTTACTGTAAATACACTGTTGAAGTAGCTTACTTCTTTACTTGAGCATTTTTGTTTTATGCCACTGTTTTTCATTTTACTTAACTTTATTTATTTTACAGCCATGGTTACTTTGTAGATTAAGACTTTTCATGTGAAATATATGATTATCTTAAAAATGTGCTGGATTATCAACCAAAAGTAAGTGTTACTTGATTTTTAGTAATTTGGTCAACAGCAGTTTGATAGATAAGGGAGTCTTTATTATTATACAATTTACTTGTCACACAAGTAAAACACAGGGAATATTGTGCTGTGTTGTGCAATTTCAGGATCCTTACATGCAATGTAATTTTTATTTTTTTGTATTGCATACTTTATATAAGTGAAGAATCTAAATAACTATTCTACTGCTGATTTTATCACACACAAAAAAGAATCACCTAATTTAATTCTAGGTATTTTGAAGAATTTTATTTCAGTGCAACAAATAGACAAAATAATACTGAAACAGCGCCAACACACGTTCAAATGAGTTGACAGATGTATTGCTGTTGTTTTAATATGTTTGATGCAATAACGTATAGGCTATAGCCTACTTTACTTCAGTATCATATGTCTGAAGGAAGTCTTTGCAATAATTTAACATATTGTGAGTCAACACTGGCAGTTCCCAAATTAATAAATAAAGTGTAAATGAAATAGTAAGCACATAACAAGACATCCTTGTATTTTGATATTGTGATGTTAAAAATAATACAAATAAATGCATAACAAATAAAGAAAAACTGCAAAAATGGAAAAGAACATTTCTGTTTCTTATCAGTGAGCTTCCCATGTACAGTGTGTACACTGTCAGACTGAATTGTCTCAAATGTTGTGTGACATGTCCACTGTTTTCTCAAAAATACTCTGATAATCAAAGATTGCAAGCAGAATCCTTGTGGTTTATCATCAAAGTTATTTCTCTTCCCCATGATCCAGTTAAAGTTTTATCTTCCGGAGATTAAGACTAATCACAGTGTTAATGTCATCCTTCTTATTACCGCCTCCTCTCATTTGATCTTACAGATGCCACAGTGTGGCCATTTGCCAAAGACTCACAGAGGCAGGCAAGAAGGGATCCAACACATGGCATGAATGAAACTTCAAAAAAGATTTTCATCCATCATCTGCTGCAGAGCAAGACCTGTTTCACAGCTGTGATACTGAAGCCCTTTGACTTCATCTTAACTTTAATGTCCTCTTGAGTCTGCTTCAGTGGGGTCTTCATCAGATAGACTATCCTCCTGAAACCTTCTTCTAGCCCCATGCCAGTGGTGGCTGAACAGGGCTGGATGAACCAGGCTCTGCCCTCACACACTCTTCTTAAATCCAGTTTAAGGCAAAGTGCTTCTGGGCTTAGTGCTCCTGGAAGGTCCTGTTTGTTGGCAAGGACCACAAGAGGAACTCCTCTGAGACTCTCATATCTCAGGACCTAGTAGGTGGAGAAAACAAAGTAAAGAACAGTTGAATAACTACAGTGCAAAACAAACTTTTTAGATGAACCTGTCCACTGCATGAAGATAATGTGTTTGCTACACATCCCATCAAGTGAACACTTTACTTTACCCTTCCGCTTTCGTAGCATTTATAAACAATACATAAACCCATAATATAGAATACTAATAAATAATTTTCCTCATTCAAAATTACTAAAATGGCATCTACTCTACTACCTTCTCTCTCAAAATCCATAATCTATGAATATGCAAACTTCAGAAGTTAAACTGCTGGATGTAGTGAAAGGTCCATTCTCAGTGTAATACTCAGTGTAATTTTCTACATGCCACTTGTGTAACCTGCCTTCTAACTAGTTTGAAATATCTAAACTAGTTGTGATTGTTCCAAAATCTTAACTTAAACTCAGATTTAAGGTGAGCACAGAGAAACTTTCTCCCTTCAGGAGATAGTCTTCTAGTGTCAAACTCTGCACATACGTCAATTTGCAAAGAGAAGATCAAACATCCAAGTGAAACAACAATAAGCAAAACACATTTTGAGTGGAGGGAGACTTAAGTATTCATACACCACTTATAAAAGCTAACTAGGGGTGTTAAAGTAAAGTTTTATTCTTAAAAATAATTAAATATTCTTTGATTTAATTACCCGATGGAGTTCCTTGCGGGCCTCTTCTAGCCGTGTCTCATCCCAGCTGTCCACCACAAACACGAGTCCGGCTGTATCAGTATAGTGATGCTTCCAGTGGGGCCTCATCTTCTTCTGGCCCCCCACGTCCCACACCGTCATGCTCGGGCTGCTCCTATCAGTCTCCAGCGTCTCCACATTGAAGCCCACAGTTGGCACGGTCACCACGCTCTCGTTGTACATCAGTTTGTAAAGGAGGGTTGTCTTCCCTGATCCGTCCAGGCCCAGCATCAGGACCTGTGCTTGTTTCTGAAGCTTGGATCCACATACACCCATGTCCTAAAATTGCAGTCTTTGTCTATATCCAAAAACGTATGTCCTCTTCTTCTTGTGTGACTGTAAACTAAGCTGTCTGCTCCCTCTGTACTGTCTGCAGGCTTAGCGTGTCTGGCCTCTTAAGGAGACTGCCTACAATCAGTATGTTTTATGTACACACAGGCAGTGATCCCTCCCCTCTGTTGTGATGGGATTCCTTCAGTCCCCTGCGTAGCTTTCGGTAAAGCTATTTATATCTAAAGTGACGGTGCAACTAAGTGAGGCGACATGCAGTTCTCTGGTTTCCAAAGCACCCTTGGTGGCGTCACATCACACCTGCCCCAGATCATCATACACACCAGCAGCCAGGAAGTCCATGTTTGGAGGATTGTGTTTCTTCCTGACTGGATGTCCAATAGCAATGAGATCACAGGGACATTTTGATGGCCCTGGCTGATGGGTTAATGTGGTTTTATTTTTAGTCTCATAATTTATAGGCTGGGCGTGCAGCTCCCAGAAAGTTTCTGGGAATTTGATTAATCTCAGATGAATTAAAGTAAAACATCACAATCAGTACAATAACAATAAATGTAACAATATGTACTTTTTAATAAACATCTGGGCATTATATTTCTTTTCTCATGCTGGATGACCTCAGATTGCCCTGATTAATTCTGTATGACCACCTAATCTTAACCTGGACTTCTTGACTGGACTGTAGGCTAATTTATATGCTTACTTTCTGGATATGTCAAAGGTTGTTGTAGCTGTTCTCAGTTTTATTACATGGGATTCAGACAATCTATTTTATTGACCAGTATGATATGATTAAACTCAGATTGATCAGAGAATCAGAAAAAAAATAAATCCAGTTTATTGCTCAGTCCAACATATCTAACGGTAAATGTGGACTGCTGTAATGAACATCTTCTAATCACCCAGCAGGTGGCACAGACTGACTAAAATGAAGCTTGTAGTTAAGGATCACAGTCCCATTTTAAGTGCACTGTTTAATCTGCTTTGCTGCATACAGAACAAAGAAAAGACAGAAAAAGAACAAGCTCTCATATTTGATGGGAATATTGATGTTTTTGTATATCGGTACAGAAGTGTCTTATTGTTATTATCATCGTCATTATTCTTTCATTATATTTTTTTGATATGAGATATTAAGTCACCAGGATATACACTATGTAAAGGCATGGATGTTTTTTGTTTTTGGTAAATGTGTGGCAATTTCTTTATTCTCCCTTTCTTTTTTATGTCTGGCTTTTGTCTCTATGCTATATTTGAACAAGTTACTTTGTAGGTAACACACACACACACACACACACACACACACACACACACACACAAAATGATGTGATCATTTATCATTTTAATGTTACCTTTTTGATTTACATTTTAAAATGTCTTAATTCTTTTCTTTACAGTTTATTAAAGTCAACAAAAACAAGTACAAATGCCACATAAACATTCTGTAACATATGTCATCAAGGAAGAATGTGAACTGAAAAAGCGCAAACAGTTTTATCTGGTATATATCTCTGAAGTTAAACAATCCAAGAACAGGCGCATTGCTTTCTTCACTGCTATATAAACAGTGGAGGGGTGATACTAACATGAGGACAGTATGTACATTCATCTTACAATTTCATGTCTCTTGGAGACATTCTTTCAACAATGCTATTCTACATGTGAGTTAACAAGGTATGACACTGAGGTCGTGCAGTGTGCAAGGTATGATCGACTGCATTACATTAAAAACTGAGAAGTAGTTTTGGCAGCAGACTTCATAACAGGAAATAACCAGTTAAAAAAATAAGGCAACAATAACGCATTTCATTCAAAGGCTTGTTACATTTTGAGTTGCAGTTCAGAGAAACTGAGATCAAACAGTAATGATCAGGACGAAGGACTTTTCTCTTGACGAGGATGATATTAATACAAGACACTTCAACAGTAAGTTGTCAGTTTGAGTATATTTATATCTCATGGGCATTGTAGTAAATGATAATGCATGAAAAGTCAGATAAAAGAATAGCATGTCAATATGTAATTAAAGACTTTTTAAAAGGGTTGTAAATGTTACCGTAAATTTAGATAAAGTAATATTAAAGTTATAACTCCCAATTATTATTACATCAATTATTATTATTATATTGTGAGATACCTCATTACTTTTTCTTACACGTTTGAACAGAAACGTTCAGTGTTATTAGGTAATCATATTACTTTATGAGTTAATAAACCAATAATTAGCAGCTAGTGTCATAATATGATGTTACTACAATATCACTACATAATCAGGAAATGTATTGCTCTAAAGGACTGTATTATATTTGTACCCATTTAAAGTGACTCTTCATTAGACTTTGACATACTACAATATTATCAGACAGTTACTACATTATCAGTGGTTACATGGATCCTGATAAGTTGGGGCTGAACAGTAGTGGTAGTCGGACAGACCAAAACTAGTCTCAGCTTTAAAGTCTTAAAAGTTATCAACAATCAAAACAGACATGAGACTTTATCAGCACAGAAACTAACACCGATCATTTTAAGTGGACTACGACATTCAAAGAAATAAACTTACAAAATGGGGAAACTCACTTCATTCTTCATTCAAACACTTGATTCATCCTCACACCAAGAATTCTCACGTTCAGCAAGTGTGATATAATGATGGCATCGGTTCTATTGCTGTACATTATGACGGTGATATTTGAACAAGCATAGGCATATTATCATTTGCGTTGTTCATGTATAAAGGGAATAAATTCATATTAATGATACGCACCAGTGATGCTTATTGACTGAGGAATAAAATAACCTGCCAACATGTTAAATATTCAGTGAAGTCACTTGGTAGATGTGAATACAATTAGACGATATGGAAACACAGAGTTAGGTAACCAAAAGTATAAAATTAGTGGTCACATAGACATTGAGTGAAAGACATCATGTTTGAAATAATATGGAAGAGGAACTCCATGCTATCATGTGTGTACTTTTAATCTGTCATTATTGTATAGACAATGAATTGGTGGTTAATGTGACACTTGTGTGCAAGTTTATCACACAAAGACAGACATCTATCACTGTTGCTCTTCTCTCTCTCTCTCTCATACACACATTCTCACACACACACACACACGCATGCATGCATGCACGCACGCGCACACACACACACACACACACACACACCCACACAGTCATACATACAAGTGTGTGCAGACTCACGGGCGTACCCCATAGCTGCACAAAGCTAGACCTGTTTATTTGCATAACAGTGACTCAAGCTCACATTACGGTGTCTCAAAGATATGGCTAAGACTAAATGAAAGAAAAGTGTCACTTTGACAGCAGGAAAAGAAAAGGACGGGGGCGTGGTTGGATGCCTTGAAGAACTAACTTCTGTAAATATCTGCGATAGAAATAGTTCTTGCTCAAAAAATTGCGGGCTCGGTTTTTAAATCTTTCATCTTAAGCCTATTCTTACTTATATTCAAACATAATATAGATACTGCATGTGGTTGATGGACGATCTACTGCTCGTTGCCCTTGCCTTTAAACTTGACCACCATGACTGTGATGTTGTCAGGACAACCACGATAGAAAGACTGGAGGACAATACTCTTGGCACCAAAGTGAGGCTCATCCAGTCGTTCCCTGATGAAGCGAACGGCCTCCTCATTGCTGAAGGTGTCCCACAGGCCATCGGACGCCAGGATCATGAACTCTGGCTGCAGCTTGTTCAGGTCAAAGGACATGATGTCGGGATCAGGAATGACCACGTTGAGGTTCTTCAGAGGATAATCGCCCAGAGAACGAGACATGGCCAAGATGCCCTGGACACGCCACGAGCCATTGAAACTGATGAAACCACCTGAGTAGGAGGCCAGAGGAGAAATGGTTGGAAAATGAGAAAGCAAGCAGCGGGAAGTTCAAAAAAAGAGGAGAGGGGAAGTGTTAGAAAGAATGTGAGGAAGAATTAGGATAGGACATAAAAGGAAGGAGAAACACAAAGGTAAGAAGAAGAGAGGAGAAACAGATGCCTTCTGTGTTACTGTGACTATAACACAAAGATAACTGATTATTTTCTTCTGAATCAGCTGGCAGCATGTCTCCTCATTTCTATCCAGTGTGAGTCTGCTCTGTTCACATCAAAATGCAAATAATAATAATATGGTGCCACTGACATGTTTTCACTCACCCAGTGCTCACCGTTAATGCTCATGGAACGAATTGTTTATGGTGGATAAATTTCAATTCATGTCACATCCTGCAAGTACAGCTGTGTGTCCTCAACGGCTCCAACAGATTTGCAAGCAGGGAATTGTAGTGGAAATGACTGGATAAGATGAAGACTTCCATTCTAGGTCAGGATACCTCCCTAGTTCCTAATGAACAAGGCCATAGCCAGGGTTTTAAATACTGAGGTTGGGAGTTCAGGCCACTGCGGGCTATAAAATATTGCTGTCAGCGTTCCAGAAAATCCCATTATGTGTAACTTTCTATTATAAACTAAAATCCCCAAATTCCCAGAAAAAGCAGAGGACATGACCTCTGTATCCTCAGTAGTGACTACTTTAGCAGCTACCACCTCATTAGCTAGCTGCATTGACATAATTGTTAGGAGATGTTATGTACCAAATGAATTAGTAACAAGAGAGACTTCAGACACTCCTAATGTCTTAAACACTATGAGGTATTAACCTCAGCAGTTAGCTGCTGCTGGCAGTTGTTAAGCTAATAATTGCATTAATTAGCAAGCATTTCTGCCCTCACATAATAATTAGACTTAAATTATTTGTACAAAAATGGCATGTATTTCAATTTTGAAATCCATATTTTTTTCTATTTAGGTCTTTTTCAATCATTTTACACTGTGAGCACTAAGTTTATTGAAAATGCAACATTTCAGTCAAAGGCGTATCAAACTCGCCATGTGAACAACAGCATGTGTACGAGACCCACAGTCCACAACAACCAATGAGAAGGAGTCAAATCACAAAGACCCGGGACAATTACACCACCAATAATTGATTTAAAAATCCCTAATATGACACCAACAATGTATATTAAGATTCACAGAAAATAGTAAGTAAACACTGGTCAGACAATGTAAAATAAGCAGTATCAGTCAACAATTATTTTTAGTATCATAAACGAACTGGAAACAATCTTCATAATATTTTTTTAAAAAATCATACGGGAAATTCAAATTTTAAAAGGTCATCTTAAATATAATTAATTCTTATTAAGGAAATACTGAGTAAACTGTCTGAAATTACACAACACATTATAATTTCAAACCTTTACTTTACTTACCTTTCCACTGTATTCTGTGGATCTTCAGACACTGTTGGTCTAAGTGTTTGTGATTTGACTTTTTTTTTTTTTAATTGGTTGTTGCAGCCTGCAGCTCTAGTATCAAGAAGTTGTTGTTTCATACTGTAAGTTTGATGCCAGAGGAATGTGACTGAAACATTACATTGTTGCATTAAACTTAGTGCAGAGATTATGTGAATTTGAACTTTCTTCAGCATGATTTCTTTTTCTCCTGCTCGCCTGTCTAACGGGAGTGCATACACAACACTTAATTTAGCTTTTAAGAGTAACAACAGACTCAAGAAAATCAGGTTTATCCTTGTTAATATGGAAATGTATTCAGCAAGTTGCTGCAAAATCTAATCAGATCATCAGCTCTACCTGGGGAAACTGTGGTGTAGGTATAAAGTTTCTATCATTAATTGTTCTTGAGTAACTGTGTTTACATGAATGTGCCAGAGAGAGGAGGAAAAACATCACCGTAACAAGATAATGCTACCCATGAGAAAAGGTTACTGTACAAGGAGTTTTATTAGTATACAAGTAGTTCCTGGACATGAGAATTTATAATTAAAACATCATCATTAACTCCACTCCCTGAAGCCCACAAGAAACAGAAGGAAATATCAACATCTGCAGTATCATAATTGCTAGCATCTAACATGAGTAAGTACGCAGCAACATAATGTGAAACCAAATGTCTTTCAGTACCCAATCAGACCATTAGATGGAGATGGAGAGCTACCCTAAGAGTGACCACACTGACTGACTAATCTGGCAACTTGCCATCAAACTCTCCTCAGTACAGAGAGTATGTAGATAGGCTAGGAGAGAGAATTATGCCTACAGATACACCTTAAACACTGTGCACTGTCTGACTGCATTTGATACCATGCTGCTCTGGAAACAGATTGTGTTATCAGTCACAAGGTTTTGATGTCAGCCTGAACACAAGAAAAAAAGGATAATGGCGCTTTGCTTTGATCATAAGAAGACTTATTTAATGCTTTCATGACAACAATCTTAGTTTTGATGTCCCTGACGTTTTAACTAAAACCCTGTTTTGCTACTCAGAATCTGGTGAAAAAAAGCCTATTTGTCTGGACTGCAGCTGTTTTCTCACCGGCTTTCTTGATCCGCTTGCGTTCTTTGAGCTGGTAAGGTTTGTGGTCATGGGATAGAGGAATGGCATTGCCGTCTTTATCACAAAGAACTCCACGTGAGTCTCCAACGTTGGCCACTGTCAATTCCTTATCAGACAGCAGGGCCACCAGACATGTAGTGCCTGAAACAGAGAGAGGGGAGAGGGGAACAGGAGGGGGCAGGGAAAGATGGAGAAAGAGAGATGGAGCAGGAAGAGGGTAGGGGACAGAGAAGTAACTGAGAATCACAACTGGAGTGCGTTATGTGGATTTCATCCTCTGTGTAATTTTCTGCCAATATTTACTGTAATATTGCTAATTTTCTGGAAAATCAATTGAGAAACAATTCATGGATAAAATGACCAGACAAGAATGTCTGTTTTTGGTCAATATAGCAAATCAAATACCTGACAAATCAAGGTAATATTACATTTATGCATTAATCATACAACAAGACTAAGAGTCTATAGCCACGCTTGTGGTTCTGTCAGGCTATACTATGGCTCATAAAGATGATGCTAATATGCTGATATTTAGAAGGTTTATATATATATTTATAATGTTTGCCAAGTTCAACATCTTAGTTTAGCCAGTTAGCATGCTAAGATTTGCTAGTTAGCACTAAATAAAAACGGTACAGCTGTGGCTGACGGGACTCTCATTTTTTTGCAGGGATTTGGTCAGAAACCAATCAATAGGACAATTAAAACTTGGACCGGATGATGTCGCTGGAGAAAAAAAATATCACCAAAGTAATTACAATTGATCCTGAGATGGACATGAATGTTTCTACGAAACTTCATGGCAGTTGATCCAATAGTTGTTGAGACATTTCACTCAAAACATCAAATGTCAATCTCATGCCACTGATGTAAAATTCAGGGGATCACCAAAGTCAGCACGATTCAGCCTCAGAGGACCTCGAATGTCTGCACAAAATTTCAAGCACGTCATCAAATAGCTGTCAAGCTATTTCCATCTAGACCAAAGTGGTGGACCAACTGACAGAGCGACATTAACATCCATAGAGCCACTGTGCTAGCGTGGCAAAAAAACAAAACAAAAACCGTCACTCATAGCAACCGTTCAAAAGAAACTTAATGTTAAAAACTTAACATTAGGTACGTTAACATTAAAAACATATGTAATGGAGAAAAAAATAAAAGCACACTACTCTTCTAATACACACACTTCCCTCCTGCACTGAAGTGACACATGCTGTGAAGCTGTGTGCAAACAATGCAAAAACTCTTTGAAGCAACTTCTTTTCCTTGTACTGCTCCTTGTACCTCAATGATTTCATTTCTTCTCCTCCTTCCTCTCTTTGTTTAGCTTCCCAGCCAGGCAGAACAGAGTCTGGAATCTGAGGCCTATTGTGTGAGATTCAAAGTCATGTAGAGAAAGAGCAGATCTGCCTGTTTGGCCATCTGCTCACACAGAGCAAAGCTAAGCAAAACTGGAGAGAGAGGAAAAAAAAGAGGAGAGAGTTGGGGAGGGTTGGGGGGTGACTACTGGTCTGGACCACCCGGACAGAGAGTGGGGGTGGTACAGGGAGAAAGGCACGTAATGGGACATACAGTAGAGACGCTGTCAGGATTTTAGTAGTAAAATGGCCGAGGATGAACATTAAAGCTTTCCTTTAAAGTTCTACATCTTTGTGTGATGTTGATGGACTGAGAGCTCACGTCTCAGGTGTTTGGCATTGTGCAGAACAAAATAAATCTGTCTCCCTCATTAAGGGTTCCTCCATTCAGTTCACAGTTACTCTGTCGTAGAGCTGGTACAGTCAGTATGTAGCGAATGAGATGGGAGAGGTTAAAGACAGACAGCAGCGGATGCAGATGAAATGAAAAGTGAGTACAGGGGGGGTAGAGCGCTTGAAGAGTAGAGATATAAAGAAAGAAAGAGAAAAAGAGATTACTTCTCAGTAGGACAATGATTTTATTATTCCCCTTTATATCTTTGGGTGAGAAAAAAGTGATAAACAGAAAATTCGGAAAAAAACAGAGGGGGACAGAAACTAAGTATAAGGGAGAGAGCACCAGCTAGAAGCGAGTCTAAGATGAATGAAGTGAACATTGCTGCCACTTAATTGTAAACGACTTACTAAATCTTTTACACAGTTTGTGAAAAATCTATTTCCATTAGTTTCATCATTGTATGCATCCCTAATCCTGCTGCTTGTGCCTATAGCTGCCGCTGCACTGTGCCATGCTGTCCAGCTAATTATCCTTATCCAGTTCCCATGGCGATAGAGATAATGGACTGAGGTGCCTTGCTAGCACACCCTTCCCCAATTAGCCCAGTCATGCCAAGCACACGTTCAGCGTTCCCTATTAAAATGGCACCATGGCCTGAATGCAGCCTCTGCTCATGCTAATTATTGGCTTAGCTTGGCCAGGCACACCTTCGACTCTCCAATGAGATTAACATCTCAGCCACAGTTAGTCTCCCACTCCCAATTTGTGTCACTGCACTGATTCACTCTCTGAGAGTTAGCAAAGACTGTGTTTGTGCTAATTTTAATTTTCTAATTGTAACACTAATTCTGGAGAGCATATGTGTTCATAGAACACCAGGGTACATCCCATGGATTTACGTTCTTAACAAAGCTGCTTGGCATTTAGGTGAAAAATGTGACGACAGGAAAACCACCACTTTGCTCACCCTGGCTCATTGTCTGCTTCAAAGCCTTTCAAAAAAAACACTACCTGCCATCCTGTCTCATCTGCCCTCCTTGGACTTGCACTCTTAACATTTATAGCAATACTATATTTAGAATGTGCATCCGTTCGGGCTGCATCATGAAGTCAACACTCTGAATTTGCATACTATATCACTGTAAAGCTTTAGACAGTCACTGTTTTCCATAACGTAGTTTTCATTCTATTCATTTCTTTCTGTCCTAAATATTTTTCTGCCTTGAGGCGAGCCGCAGCTTTCTTGGAGGCCAGAGTGAGATTTAGCTTCGGGCTCCAGTGTACATTTGAACCACCTATTCATTTTTCCAGAGTGTTTCTTTCCCTTTAGAATTTTTATGATACAAAATAGGGTTGATGATTGTTTATCATGAACGATAGTGACATTCAGGGATTCGTATTTGGGAAAAGCATATTATTTGACAGGCCTATGGATCTAAGTATCTCCTCTAATTATGCAAGGTTGTTATGGCAACATTCACAAAGTCTTGTGCGTCAGGAAGAGGTTTGAAATACTACTCAACAAATTTAGCACTGCACTCCTATAACAGTGTATGACTCAAGATGGACAGTTAAAACTAGAATTACCATCTTGCAGTTGTATGCGTCCGCCAACCAGCCAAGCTGCAGGTTAGTGAGGTGAGTTACAACACTGAATAATGGCCAGAAGTGTTTCTGCAGAACATGATGATGCCACAGTGAAGTAAACCATTGAGCACTTGGATATAAAATGTTTTCACTTCATTTTATTACCCTTGACAGTTGTGTTCAATTCTGTCATATATATCTTTTTTTTTTATTAATTTCTTAAATTAAGGAAAAAAATATGTTCTGTGAAGCCACAGCAACCTTGACCTTTGACCCACAAAATAAGTTCATCCTTGAATCCAAGTGAACATTTGTAGCAGATTTGAAGAAATTCCCTCAAGGAGTTCTTTGCTGTCACAAGGATGGGACGGACGGACAACCCCAACACATCATCAATATACATCAGCCTCCGGCCACATCTGTCACAGCATGGAGGCATAAAAAAAGGATCAAAAATCAATGGAACAGAACCAGAGATATCGTCACTTTTATTATTATTTGTCAAAATCTGGTGCCCAAATTACCCACACTGCAACTCAACTGCTGACAGTTGTCTGGGTTGTCTTGTCTAGCTCACTTTTCTCCAGCTCTACACCCCCAGATTTCTGTCTCTTGTCATACTTGTAGTCTTCAGCTCCAACCAACGCAATTCATCAAACCTGGAGAAGCTCTATCTAGAGCCAAAATATATATTTTTTATGTGAAAATATATGAAAAACTTTAATTTCACACATTCAGTTGTACTCTCCAAGAAAAGTAAGTCAGTGGAGTTCCCCTTTAAGATAATCTTCTTTCTCTTCACACAGTGAAGAGTGAGTGCAGAAAAATAAAAAGCTTCATGCCTTACACACTTTAAACACAAAAACCTTGTTTTTACATCCTGAGGCCAGACAGTTAGAACACTTTTAAACCCAATATCAGACTTGCAAAGACTTGCGCTAGAGAATTCATCACAATGAAAAACTCACAATAACTGTCATATCTCAGAAGTCAGAGCCTGTCAAACATGTTTGGTCTGTCAAATGTTTAATCAACATTGCGTTCATATCCAGGGTTCAAATCTTACATTACCTTCAGAGTTTTTGAATTAGATTGTGTCAAATATCTACAGATGAACACTAATCTTAGCTAGTTTCTAATTTTTGCCTAGAGTTACAGCTAACTAATGAGTTATAGCTAACTAATGTTAACTAGCTGATGCCATTTCATTTCCAATGTTGGCTTGGCATTTCATTACCAACATAAAATGTCATCTAATTTTAGCAAGCACTGGTGCGTGGTCACAAGCAGTGAGACAATGGAGGATTAGTTGTTGTAGAGATACATTTTGACATCAATATAGAGTTTATTATTAGATTTTAATCGTGTTTTTGTGGCTGTGGTGGACTAGTTAGTCTTTTACCTTTTTGATATTAGTTTTTCTTTTTTTTGATTTCTTTTTTTTTGTTTTTTTTGTTTTTTTAAAAAAGGGACACCCCCTTTGTTTTCACTAAAGAACTAAGGAGTTTCATCTGGTTGAATAATAGAACAATACTAAAATCCATGTGAGCTGAAGCCTAAGTAATTACATCAGCAGTGGTGTACATTTGGTACATTTACTCTAAGTACTGTACTTAATCACAATTTTGTACTTTACTTGTGTACTTAAATTTTATGCTACTTTATACTCCCACTCCTACATTTCAGAGGGAAATATTGTACTTTGTACTCCACTACATTAATTTGACAGTTCTAGTTAAACATGCAAGATACTGTAAGGATTATAACACGTGCCTGCACTGTGCTGGGTTCCATTTCGCCCACAGAAAAAGTTGATGCAATGATCTAAACAAAGATTAACATTACTGGAGTCAGAACACAAACATGAAATGGCTCATAGCAATAAAGGAACCACTAAAAATGACATCAACTTTCAGCTAAAATAATAACAACACCAAACAAATGCAAAGCTTAGAAAAGCAAAAACAAAATGACTAGTACTTAACAAAATGGAGCTCCACTCTGAGGAGAATTAAATGATGAAAGATAAAGAAAACAACTGTGTTTTGAGAACATTTATATTGTCTCCAGCTGTTCAGGAAACAGCCTGAAGAAGATTTTTAACCAGGGAAGAGGCACATTAGTTATCATAGCGATATACTGTATAGTAATACATTTTCTTGCAATACAATATCAATAGTCTGGCACCAGTAACGCAAATGCTTTTTGCTTGATTATCGAGGCAGAAACATTTCCTTCCTTCCAGCGGGTATTTGATTTCTAAAATATTTAGATTTCTGGCAGTTCAACCTTTTTCCAGTTTTACATTGAAATGATGCCATGTGTGTTCATGTTGCTGAGTTTATTAGAAGGGTTCAGTCTCTACACCCCTAAGTCTATAAAACATAAAACACTTTATAATGCAGCAAATAAACACAGTATACATGTGTATACAAGTATGTTTCATTCTTGCTTTGTAAAACAAATCTCCTGCATGTTTAGAGGTATAGTTTTCTCTTATGGAGGTCTGATGATGGTGCACAAAATATATCTGGGGAACAAAGTTTTTTCCCCTTAGTATTTCTCCACATATTTCCATGAATTAATCTCTAAAATGTCCTAACTTTTACTTCATAAAAAATGACACTTTATGCAAGATGACATGGTTACCAGCCCGGTATAGCGCTGCTTGCAACAGTAACTACTGATTATTGGACTAAAACACTACTAGACACTTTAGAGTGCTTGTGTGGGTGCAAATGTGCTGAGAGACATGTCACACAGTAGTAGCAGCAGAATAACACATCACATTAAGGAGACTGTTTCATAACAGACTCTGGGCATTCCATCAAAGTCCCATCTCCCTTATCTTTCTTTCAAGCGCTTTTGTTTGCTGATAAACAACAGAGGCATGAACGAACAGGGGGTAAATCTGATATGCTGTTGTCCTGGGGACTCAGAGCCGAATTGAGAGTGTATCTCTCCAATTTTCCCTCTCTCTTCCTTCCCTGCCAGCTTAATTTAGGCCCCGAATACAACAGAAAGCAGGGAGCTGTGCACCCTAAATGATGCGATTGTTGAATCAGATAAAGGGACAAGAATGCACAACAATCACCTGATCAGCAGCCCCTCCACACCACCACCACCACTGAGACACTGACAAGAAAGTCAATTCAATCCCAGACTGTCTAATGCTCAGGACAACACAGAGGCATTTTCGTTGTAATGGAGCTTGACTGTCACTTTATCTATCTCAGTGCCTGTCCTTCTTGCTGTGCTGTCCAAAAACGGATGATTGAAATATAGAGGGATAAGAAAAAGATACAAACAGATAGGGAGTGGTAAGAATCTTTGGACCCTGGATGCAACAGGTCACATGGCTTTAGAAGGGAAGGAGGCAGAGGGATCAGGAGGGGAGATTTACTTGGTGGCTGTTTTGAGAGCAACATAGATCAGAAAGCTGATGCTTATCTGCAGCTGGGGAAGCAGCAACGAGAGGAGGATAAGGATAAAAGAGGATGAAGTGGTCAAGGGCAGTGTTACGAAAGGTAACACAGTAACTGCAGCATATCAACCTTTTCTGAGAGGTAACAATCAGCTGTTGCCTTCAGACTGGGCGCTCTAGGTCTGGAGATTTTAATTCTCCTACTTAGCAATCAGTGACCCATCATTCTCACGAGGATGTGAAGCTTTCTCAATGGCCCTTTCATACCACTGACCTCCTCAACAACTGACATGTGAGCCACATATCAGCTGCCTGTGCAGGTTTTCATTTAGGCTACACTCTGTTCAGAAGTAATCTAATTGTAAGATGCATTCCCTTTCCCCTCCTTTCTTTTATAAGGAAAATTGCAGTTTATTACAACTTGCATCTTATTTTTTTGTGGTTTTGGTCAACATTTCTATTAGCTGTGATAACAATTACCTCTAAGCAATTGCTGACATCTGGGTACACTGTGACATTCCTGCAACAAAGGCCACTGGGGCAAGAAACAGAAGATGTCTGATGATCTGCCAGGTTGCAGACAAGCTAACAGTTTATATAGATTACCTAAAACACTTAATTTTAACATTTTTTAAATTAAAGTGGGGCCGCTGGTGGTCTGGTGGGTAGGATGTCAATGTCATAACATCCCTTGCTCAAATCCAGCCAGTGACTTTTGTTGCATCAATGTCCTCTCTTCTTCACTTCGGCTTTCTACTGTAATATATCTGATGCCCAAAATGACTGAATGGCCATGAAAATACTTATATACAAAAAAACAAACTTGTCTTACAAATAAGTTTGGCTTACCTGGGCCTTTGTTTTGATGTTGGTTATCTCAGCATTTAACTTACTTGGTACAACACTAAGGATGAAGTTATAACCCAGGTTATATGGAACAAGAATTTTCCTTTAAGGAATAGCATATTGTGTGTCCATTTCTCCCATCTTTACTCTGACTCTAACTGACTCTAACTATATCCCGCTGAATTCTTGGTTGCAGGATGTCTCTACAGTCTCATAAATCATCTTATAATCTATATTTCAACTCTCTCCCCTACATGCTCAATAAGCCATTATGTTTCTGCCATTCATAATGTCCATTGTTAACATATGGTCTTGGCCTCCTCTAATTACTTATGCTCCTGCATCTTCTCCCTATAGTGTTGAATTAATAGAGGCAGATGAAAAACCACACTGCTGCATCTCTCCCTTACTGTTACCGCAACTGATGTCTACGATGAACCTATGATAAACTTATTTGTCATAATCTTAAAAACAAGGCTGTGATGGAATCTAGAACAAACTCAAACATGTTTATGAATGAAGCTCATATGTCTCTGCATTGCACTGTATAATTCAGCTGTGGGACTTTGGGGCAAGATTTGTTTCTTTGCCTTCTCTCGTCACCCTGTTTTTGGTTCGTGCAGATCGGCCTTTTTCATCATCCTTTGTATCCGTGCTCTCATTCTCCTCACCCTTTCAATGTACCGCTCTCTGTTTGTCCCTTTCCCTGTCTCTCCTTACCCTTTGTCTCAGCGCTTCTCTTTCATTGCGCTCCCTTTATTTTTTGTGTGGTACAGGGCTCTTGTTCCTCTCTACTGTATAGCTCTAACCAGCAAAAAGTCCTCCTTCCACACATGCATCCTTCCCTCTGACCTTTCTGCTACCTCTTTCCATCTATCACTCTCCCTCTTGCGTCACCCCTCCCTCCTTCTCTCCTTCCCTGCCTCCCTCCAGAGATAATTACTACAAGCCTTGTGAAGATCAGCTTGTATTTAAACAGCTGAATAAGCAAGGCCTGGGGCTGCTGACAGACACTATTCAACAACAGTCAAGTGAAACAGTGGAGTAGAAAATAATAGTTTGCATGCAGCATTTAGGGGACATTTAAAAGTATTGCTACAAACAAAGTAGTGTTTTCTTATTGTGTTTCCACTACTGAGCAACACCAGTGGGTAAAATCCATCTGCATGTGGCCTCCAGTTTTGTGGTCACACACTCAACCTGATATACTGTATGTACACATTTAAATCATTGCTAAATAGTGAACCAGTGTTGCATCTAGACGGACCAAACCAATGCAGGGAATTGCCATACACTTGAATATATAATGTGTATAGTTATGTGTACGTCGTTTTACAATTAGGGTGGGATTTTTTCACTCTGCTGAGGTATTTAACAAACAAATACACACATACCTGCTTCATTGTAAGTGGCAGACAGCTTGTCTAGAATTTCTCTGTCCAACGTCAGGATCTGCTGCTCCAGGATGGAAGGATAGGAGAGACCACCCTTCTCCTTTTTTTCATCTTTCTCTTTGTCTTTTTCTCTGTCTCGCTCTCTCTCCCGTTCATAGGTCAGTAGCTGTTGGCGGAGAGCCTCCGGCAGGTGGGCCTTGGCAAAGTCAGCAGCAGCCTGATAATGGAGAGCAGAGGGACACAGAGGAAGAATTAGATGCAGGTAAAAATTTGCTGGGTCAAAAATGCTACTAAAGGCATAACCCAACATATTCTGTCACGTTCTCCATGTTGATGACAAGTGTTTCTCCATGTTTTTACTCTGACCATGTTCAAGCAGTTGCCCTATTCATATGATGCTGATTTTCTGATATTATTTTCAACATTTTACATATATTTAAAGAAAACTTCAAAAGTCCTAGTCATTGAGAATGTAGAAATTAAAAAAATTTGGGAACTATAGGCTTATCTTATCTGTTTGCTTTGATAAGTAGGCTATTAATTTAGCTTAGCATAAACACCGGAAGAAAGGGGAGAAAAGCTAGCCTGGCTCTGTCTCAAGGTTAAATAAATAAATAAATAAATAAATAAATAAATAAATAAGCAAGCCAACAAGCACCTTTAAAGCTCATTAATTAAAATGTTATATCTTGTTTGTTAAATCCATGATAAAATGAGATGTTCTGGTCTTATGGGGAGTGAAGCGCTGGAACTATTTCTTGGCTGGGCCAGTAAGTTGCTTGGCACCAGTAGCAAGAACGTGTTAGCTTATTACCCAAAATGTGCAGCTATTTATACATATTTTTGATACAGAATATTGTAATGTAGTGTCAATTTATAAAAAAAAAAAAAAAAAAAAAAGATATCTTATATATGTGCACACATGCACACACACACGCTGTCTTTTGCAAGTGGTCTACACAGCAGGCTGCAGTGGCAGTAACCTGCTTGTCCTCTCTGCCTTGCTGAAGCAGATAAATTACAGATAAATGGAGATAAAGAAAGAAAAAGTGCATCGCCAATCAAATGCACACAAGCTCACACTCACACCCCGCTGTGGGATACAGCTGAGCTGGAGAAACTGTACCTTCACCTCTATCCATAGGATAACACCAACCTTCCCTTTTTTTCACACATTCCCACTCCTGTTTCAGAGAAAATAATGCCTCCCTCCACTGGCTCAGTGCCAAACAGGCAAGACAAGCCAGTCCAAGGTCATGAAGTTCAGAAAGTTCCAAGTACAAATGTCAGATAATGTTCTGCTGACATGCAACTGATATGCAGCATCCCAGATTTATATAGCTCGTGTTTCATACATAGCTTTTACTTGCAGAAAGTCAAACATCTGCAGTAATTTAACAAACTGTGAATTAACAAAACAAAATAAGCCATTCAAGGCTGCAGGAGAAAAAATGTTTGTAATTTCCTAGTACTGAAAATAATGACTTGAGGCCATAGGACAGGGACTCATATATGAAGCCCATGTCTTGTGCTGTACCTCACTCTCTTTCTCTCGCCATCTATATCTCATTCTGCTCAGGGATACTGCTTTCAAGGACTCAGATAACCCTGTCTCCCTTGCTTTCTTTCCACATACATAAAAAACAACTCATCTACTCCTCACTTGTTATATCTCATCAGTGTTATAAAAGCGTTCCTCTGCAAGCCCTGTCACTCTTCCCCTATCTTCTCCACTGACACAAAAACACTCCTAATCTTTTTCTGTCCTGGATGTGTAAGGGCCCGTCTTTCTTTCTCTCATTTTCCATTTCCCACACTCTTCTCTCTGCTTCCATGGTGATGTTTAGTCCAAAATCACCAAGGATCTTGTCTACATTCCTTTTCTCACACTCTCCTTTCTATTGTCGGAAGACAATCACCATGACATACCTTCATCCTGCAGTTACCATATAGAGAGCAGAAGTTATAAACTCAGTTCAAAGGTCATAAATTGAACCGGAAGTCCTTTGTCAGCTTGGGTTATACTGTGCCAATTACCAAGCAGTTTAACTGTCTGCCTGCCAGTCCTTAACAAATCACAGGGGTCACAAATCCTTTTTCCAGCTGCATTACTTCAAGTATTTGACTGCACGTGTACGTACCAATCAGTCTTTGAGACGGTGTGACCGCATGCTTGTCTACACTTGAGAACAGCAGACAGCCTTAACAGAAAGGGAACAGGAGGCTAAGTCTTATCTGACCATCTAACCTGCTGGCTAACCAGATTGACACATCAAACACCTGGCTGCAGCATCTGCACCAGCTTAGAGGATGAAAGAAGGGAAGGGCGGATGAGGGAGGGATAGCAGGGATGGACGGGGATGAAGACTGTGGGATAGACAGATGAAGACAAGATGGCAAGGATCAAGGATAGTAATACGGGAGGGAACAAAATGGAGGGTGAGATTAGCGGTTGGCATAAATGTACAATGGAGGAATGCAGGAAGAGAGTAAATGGGGTATACACGTCTGGCTTTGCTCAATCTGAAAGAGACATACAGAGGGGTCCAAGCAGCAGGGGTCAAAAATTAAGATTCTTTACTACCCAATGCACAGCAACACAGAAAGTAAGAATGTGCTGAAACTGAAAGTGCAGTGGAGAGGTGAAGATGATGAGCTTATATGGTCAAAGGGAAAAAACTTAACAAAAATGTGTGTCTTGTAAACACTTTTAGATTCAGTGTTAGTCATCAACACAAATTGTGTTAACAAAGGTAAGTGTTTTTCCTTCCTCAGAAAGCATTTAAAAATCACATTGTTTACCATGTTTGCTTGCACCAGTCCTCTTCTTTCCTGCCTTTGTTGGTGCACTGCTATGTTTGTTGGTGTGTTACTGCTATCAATTGTAGATCAACGGCATGGTGTGAAAACAAAGGCATGGTGTGAATTGTGTCGCCTGCATGCTCGGATGTGCATGGTCTCGTGCATGGCACAACAAAACATGGACTCACTCATAAAAACGTTGTTTCATAGCACTCGTGATCAAACACTCAATCTCATATTACATATATAGTTTATTAAAAAAAATTGTTAATTAATGCAGCTTTAAGTCATTAATTATGACCAATACTCCTACAAATAGTTATTTTTATTCATTATTTATCTATTAATTATTTTTTTAGATTAACCAGTTAGTTTTTCAGTTTATAAAATGTAAGAAAATAGTGTGAAAATGCTAAGGTGAAGTCTACAAAGTGCTAGTTTTGTCTGTGTAATATTCCAAAACCCAGAAAAATTCAATAAGAAATAATACAAAAAAATGTGTGAAGCATGAACTTACCGGTGACATTTTTGCTTCATAAATGACCTGAGTTAACTAAATATCCAAATCTCTGGATAAACTAATTGATTTATCAACCAATAGTTTCAGAACTTAAAAAAATATATATTTTTTTGCAGTGGAGAACAGGCGAGTTTGCTCAGAGTGCAATCAGTCATGGCTGTGCAGAGTGTCACATTGGTCTCTTCTTCACACCAGATGTCACTTGCGCAACACAAACACAAAGGTTTGTATCGCACATACAATAAGTACATAAATCCACATAAACAAAAACACACACTTTCTCGGAAGGGCCACCTACACACTTTTGTCTACCCTGAAACACTCCCTCCTGACTGCTAAATGTGAGACAATCAGATGCACAGTCCTGCAGAAATAGTCAGGCCTTTTAAACACTTCCATCCATCATATCGCTAGGCCGACAGAAATGAGGAAAGTCATCTGAGTTTTCCTTTAGAATCACCCTGAGGGAGCTTCATAACCGAAGTAGAAAAATCTCTTTCTGCGGTCTTTCTGACAGATCAAGCAGGCAGATGGAGAGAAGAAGAAAAAAGGGAACAGAGGGGAAGAGACTGAGGAGTGCAAGTACCATTCATTAGCATCACTCAAGCACATCATTAAAGAAAGAGAGAGAAAGAGAGACTCCAGTTAAAAGACAGAGCCCGAGATAAGTGACAGGAAACCATCAAAGCAATGAAATACAGAGAAGGCAGATGATACTGGAGGAGAGGGAATCTGGAGGGAAAGCATTTCAAAATATTTCCCTTTGTTGTTTTGATTTCCAATTCACAAGTTTAAAATTACAATCACAAAATCCATCAGTGAGGAGACTGCATTTGCCATTTTACAATCTAAGTAGAGTATGCATTCACTGCTTAATGCTACACACTGTACAAAAGATATAATTTGTCTTTACTTTAAAATAACAAACTTAATAAAATTAAAACAAACAGATTAAATTCATAAGAAAAAGGCAGGAAAGAGAGCAGATATCCAACATAAACACATGTGTCCACTGCAGAGGTGTAGTATGCTTCTCCGCAGGATGACATTGCAGAGCTCAGTCTATCCACAGGGTCGAGGACAGTGTGATCATAGAGCCATAATTTCATTATCTCACACCTGCGCTTTGTATGTGTCAAGGCTATGCCAAGTACAGGTTATGAGTGGCAGTGTGTGTTTGTGTTAGGTTGGTATGATACCGTCACTGCATCATAAATAGAGTCCCTCTTATTTGTACTTAAGAGGAATGTGAATGCAGGCAAACAACACTGGGGTTAAGTACACATGAACACACAAGCACACACGCAATCATCATTTGAAATGCTGAGACTGAAAGCTAATTCTTGACCTTGAGAACAGCAAATCTATTTCACATCAAGGTCCATTCAGCAGCTGTTTTGGAGCTCAGCTTTTAAGTCAACAGAGACAAGAAGTGCTGGAAGTGCAAAATGTAAATTCAAACAAGTAATTCCACGACCACTGGACAAATTCACTCTAATGAAGAAGATAAATTGGATTTTTTTTCTGTCACAATTATGTAATCAGATTCAACTATTAAGTCTTGAGATCTTATTTTTCGTATATTAAAAGGCAAGAAATCTGTCAACTGAATGTAATCTTTTTTATTTTGTGAGTTTTTAGTTGTACTGGTGCAAATGACCTGTTTAGCCCCCTGCACATTATTAATGTAAATAACTAAATCAAGTGTCATTTTTATGACAGTGGTGGGGTCATCTCACTTATGCTACCTGGTTTTAAAATACTAACTTTTAAAATAGGATTTGTGGATCACTTCCATTTGTTTTTCAGATAAATAATTCTGAAACTAAGTATTTCAACTCAATAACTTGCTTCTTGTGCAGAGTGATCCTGTAGCCAGACTGGAAGTGTTTGTG